GTTTCCTGGTCTGTGAGCAAATTGAATTCAAAAGCTCTCCGGCCTGAGTTCTTCCTTTATCAGGATGCAGGTGGAGTGCTGGTTGGTGAAGGCCCTTTATATGTGTCTGAGTTGCCGTAAGACCCATTTGTCCCGCTGTTCCGACGGGCACGCGGGGGCTTTAATAGCTGGAGGTTGACCTAGTTGCCTCCACTAGTCTTGTGCACAGTTGTCTCTGTGAGCGTTTGGGGAGTGGAAACGTGGGGGTAGAGGAGAAAAGAAAATAGAGGAACGGGGTATACAACCCCCCTCTCCCTCCCTCCTGCAGAGAGATGGGACAGCTGAAGGCAACAGAACCAACCCACATATTCTCACATATTCTCACTGCTCTGGCTGCAGAAAATAGAACAGCAGCATCCATGAAGGCATGCGCCAAACAACTGATGCTGCTGCGGTCCGCTGCGTGCAGGCCAAATCCTTTAGAATTCAGAACTCGGGCCCCACGCTGCTTTTCTGAGCTTATCCCGGCTCTCGGCCCATGTCCGATAGGTAATGTACACGGTCGAGCCATGTAAGGACAAAGCAAGTCGATGTCTCCGTGAACCCTCGAAGGGATTCTTTTTTCTGGAGAGCCCTCAAAGGAAAACGCGCGGTGGGGTTTGCCGACACACCCCGAATCACAGCAGTGATGCAATTAACAGCTGAAAATTGATATTTGAAATGAGAACAGGCAGTTGTTTTAACCGTCCGGGCAAAAACAAAGCAGAAAATAATGCGAACGCGGGACATGTTTGCATGAGTTTAGGGCTTTTTTCCGTCAAACCACACATATATCATAAAGTTAAATCAGATAAATATTAGCTTAGATGACTAAGCGTGAAAAGTCACACCATCTTTGTTTATTTAGCTAATTTGAGGTGCGAGAATTCAGGTGCCAACACCTCTATAAAACATGAGGAAAGACACCAAGGGTCATAAGGTCACTTCCACACTGTTCGGAGTCCATTGTTCTGCAAAGAGAGAGATTATTTACACATGAAACACCTTCAACAGAGCTGTCAAAAAAAGAGAGCCACATCAAAAGCAATAAAGCATCTCATTTTAATCAACTACACAGGGGTGTTTTCCCATTCGTTCACAGTCAGAGTAACTGATATCTGAGAGCATTTCTTTCATTCAGGTAAAAAAAAAACAAAGACTCACTCTTGTTTGTACAACAAACACAGATATCTGTTTTTGAAACACAAAGATGAACATGTCCTGGCAGGGAAATAAAGACAAAACCTGATTGTTCTCAGCAAAAGATACAACACATCACAAACCTGTTGGTCACGGAGATTAAGGAGAAGGTCTCACCGCGATGACTTCACTCATTTTGAATACAGAATATGCAAACTGACTCTATGTCTCAGATAATATCTTAATCTTAAATGATCAGAGGTGAGTATTTGTATGTAATTATGGAAAACAGACCTCAACACTGGTGAGATCTTTAAGGATACGTAGAATTAAACGTGTAATACCTTTCGGTGTATCATTTATCCATTGTAGGCATCAGGAAGTGATATGTCTCCATCCTGGAAATGCTTACTGTCCCTACTATCTTTTATGTTTGAGTTTTATGACCTTATTCTCTCCTCTCATTATCAGGAAAATCATCCCGAGGTTCCGAAAGCTCATCCCGGTAATTTTACACGGCACTCCCTGTGTACTCTGACTGAAGAAGTCATCAAAAGCTTCACGGTGACTTATGGACTTACGGTCTTATCGGCCCCTGCACTCATGAAACGCAGAAATATGAAAGGAGCCAGATGAGCGGGGGACATTTTGTCAGCGTTCCCAGACCGGGATTTAAAGTGACAGCTCAAATTAGAGGGGTGGAAAAAAAAAAAAAAAAAAACGGAAAGACCTAAAAACGTCAAATTGTGTCTCATGCCACCCGGTGTTGCGTGTAATCCTGCAGGCTGCAGACGCTGCCAAAAGCAAAATACATAAACGTGCGTGTTGACAATAGCAGATCATGCGTGTCCTTCCCAGAAACATTTGCCCACGTGCGCGTCCGTCAGGCAGCGTCCAGCGGCTAAAGCGGCTAAAGACTTCCTGTAGGACCAGGAAGCACCTGCTCAGGCCGGGCTGGTCTTCAGCTTTCCGAAACGCGTCACTGCTTCTCCCTGCGG